TGCATTACAAGTTGGAGGGCATGAAGTACAGTTTGCAGAGCAGTGAGTTGCTGCCTGCAGAGGCCACGATGCCTGTAGTCCCAAGTCTGCCCACCAGTGATGCATCCACCCTGGTTTCGGGGTGTCTCTTTGTCTCCTTTCTTTTGTCTTTCTGTGTATTCTTTTGCTATCCCTATCGCCGCCGGATCTCCCCTCTTCATGACCCAAACACTCGTGAACAACACAACTATGTTGAGGCCAGTCCCTGACACTTTTTTTCTTATTTGGCAGGCGAGGTAGAACCTGGGGCTTTTGAGGGATGGAATCTGCCTGTGAATGCTCGGTTGATGGAAGTTAACAAAAGGTGACACTGAGGTTTAAGTGAAGGGGCATAAATACTGAAGCATCACTGAATGACAGAAAACTGAAATATGAAGTTGCATGTCCTTCTACTAGAACTGGACTAGTGCTCCCCGCAAAAGTAACCTCTCTACAGGTAACCCAACGAGGTTTCCCAAACAATAGCCATGTTATCCATGTTATTTTCCCCAATGGTATATAGCATGCACAACTGGACCAATTTCATAGCTAAGTCTACCGGTGACTTTTATAAGCTGTTGTATCTGTTATCAAGTAAGTTAATATTCACATTCTTTGGCTAGGGCAAATTGAGAAATACAAATTTAAACCCAGGTTACTTATTTAAGATAACCTAAATTCTATACACTTGAAATCAAAACTGGACAAGTAACATAAAAATAAATAAATAAATAAAAATCCTTCTGTCCTGAGAATGAACCCTTTTTTTTCCAGTCTACAAGTCCATGCCTTAGTTTCTTTATTCCTAAAATGTTCCCAAACAGGTCCTCTCATGGGAACGGAGAACAATTTAAAATCCTGAGGTGAAAGATGAAAAAATATGGAAATAAGTGTAATGGTTAATCCTAAAGACATGGTGAGACACACCCAGAAAATGCCAGTCTTTCAATACCGAATTCCAGTCAACTTTGTATCTTTCCTTCAATGATGAACAGCACCCAGTGCCATGATTTTATTTTTAATTTTTATGTTTTCACTTTTTATTGAAAATCGGGTGAAGGTTTACAGAACAGATCAGTTTTCCATTCAACAGTTCATACACATTTTGTTTCATCTCATTGGTTACAAACCCCACAATATAACATCACTCATCTCTCTTTCTCCCTGTGTTTCCTGTTTCTCTTCCTCCAACTTTCCTCACCCTTCTAAACACTCTCCTTGGGTCACTGCTGCCCTTAGATCTCACATGGTTGATTATCCTACCTTCTTAGTGTTACTGTTGCCCTTGGTGATGGTGGTGGTGGTGTGCCGTGGAATTGGTTCTGGTTCATAGTGACCTTGTATAGGGTTTCCAAGGCTGTAAAAACTAAGGTACACCTGACCCAAGCCATGGTGTTTTCAATAACCTCACATGGATGTGAAAGCTGGA